TCTTCCTCCCTGGGCTTCCAGGACGCCGGGAGGTTCTTTTGTCCCCACTCTGATGGATCTTCTTTCTTGGCTTAGTGGACCCTGTGTTTGATCTTTGTTTTGTTTCCTTGTCTTTCACACTGGCATCTTTGATGAAGCCATACGCATCCATGGTGTGTGCCCTCACCATCTAGGAGAAGATTCTCCCCTGCTCCTTCTCCAGGCTTCCTTCCAGTCTTCCAGTGTGCTCGTCCTGTGGCACTATCTTGCCAGGATATCTCACTGACATCTCCACTGAGCCCGTGTAAACAGGGACCCAGCATCACAAGTCAGCTCTTTGGTCTTCTTTCCCTTCCTTGTCCTCTGCATCTGGTCAGGGACCAAGTCTTTCTTTTTTTGGATGGAATCTCGCTTTGTCACCCAGGCTGGAGTGCAGTGGTGCGATCTTGGCTCACTGCAACCGCCGCCTCCCATGTTCAAGCGATTCTCCTGCCTCAGCCTTCCAAGGAGCCAGGATTGCAGGCACACTCTATTACGCTGGGCTAATTTTTGTATTTTTAGTAGAGGGGTTTCGCCATGTTGGCCAAGCTGGTCTTGAATTCCTGACTTCAAGTGATCTGCCTGCCTTGGCCTCCCAAAGTGCTGGGATTGCAGGGGTGAGCCACTGTGCCTGGTCTCCAAGACTTTCAAAATACCTTTTAGACATCATCATATTTTTTCATATATTTTTTCTTTTTTTATTTAAAATTTTAAAGTAATTAACATGTGGTGGGGAGGATTTCAGGTGAAGGCGAGAAATCCCATACAGTGCAGAACACGTGGAAATCATCAAGATAACAGGTCACCCCTAATGCAACCGCCCATTGCTATGTCAATAAATATGCTTCCAAGGACACTCATCTCACAGTTATTTGTAATTAGCAATAACAACAAAAGAAAACAAGCTAAAACCAGCATTTTGGGGTTGGCTGTTAATAAGATGAGACATGGATGCTGTTGTGTAACTGGGCTTTGCATAAGGAGTGTCCACTGTGATTGGATATTCCCCTGTAGATCCAAATCTGAATTGCTCTGTCTTATTCTAGCGTCACACTTTAAGGGAGGTGTTGACGTCTTGTCTGCATCCAAAACAGAGCAGCTGGGAGGACAAGAAGCTGGAAATTATTTCCTAGGAGGGAAGCTTAGAAAAACTGAGGTCACTGGAGCCAGATAGGACCAGAGGGGTTGGTGGCACGATCAAGTGCCTGAAAGGCCACAGGCCAAAGATCAGATCAGGCCACCATAGTCCCATGGCAGGTAGAACCAGGACTAATGCAGAGGCTGTGGGAAAGGAATTTCAGCTCAATGAGGAAGCATTGTCTGCACTGCAAGAATGGAGCAGCCCTACCCAGGGCCACCAGAAGAATCTTCTTTGAGCTGATCATGTCCTTTATCTGGAATGGTTCCTGCTGTTCATTTGTCCACTAAATAAAACTCAAGTGCTTAAACTGGTATTTTAGGCCCTCCCTGACATGTGTTCTCTCATTCCAGGAATATTTTCCAATCCCCTCAGACTCCACCTGTTGCACTTGGGCCACGCCCCCTCCTCCAGGCAAGCTCTGCATTCTGCTGCCTCTGAGCCTCAGCACATTCCCTTCCTTCTCTCTGCTCTGTACCACTCCCTGCTTCTCATCTCCCCTTATTCAATCCTTCCCTACTGCAAGTTCCAGCTTCTCCATGATGCTTTCAATCAGAAGGCCTTACCCCTCTTCTAGTTCCTGGACTGCCTTACGGATACCTCTTCCAGGACACAGCCACTTCCTTCCAGCTGCAGGGTCAGGTGTATCTGTGACCCTTCCCTGTTAGAGTCAGTGCTTCTGAGAGTACAGGGCAACTCTTGTTCATCCTTTCAGCCAGCTCGCGGCTCAGTGCCAGGATTCTAAGGGATAAATGTTTCCAGAAGCTTCTAAGGTGGAAGCTAAATGTCTTATTCTTTCCTAGTGGCTCTCCTTCTTGCATTGATTTTTGGCTGGATGTTTTCATGCCTCCAATTCTAATTTGCTCCTTAAACCAGCTCAATGAGTTAGGAAGGACAGTGATCCTCATCCCTATTTTACATCAGGAGAAACTGAGGCCTAGAGGGTTTAGGTGACTTATTCAAGGTCACACACCTAGAAAGTGGCAGACCCCACCTGGAACCTTGTCCAGCCTTTCACCTCTGATGCATTCTGCTTTCTTCTCCATGTCCAGCAGGGCACCAGTCCTCGCCACCTGTGGTGGACACCATGCATGGTAAAGTCCTGGGGAAGTTCATCAGCTTGCAAGGATTTGCACAGCCTGTGGCCGTTTTCCTGGGAATCCCTTTTGCCAAGCCTCCTCTTGGACCCCTGAGGTTTACTCCACCACAACCTGCAGAGCCGTGGAGCTTCGTGAAGAATGCCACCTCTTACCCTCCTATGTAAGCCAGGGGTGGATTTGGCACATTTCAGCGGGATGTTTGCATCAACGTGATACAGGAAGGAGTCAAGGCAGTCCCCCTGATGGGCTGATACTTTGCTCTGGAATCCTGAGATCATTGTAGATCCTTAAGAACATTCCAGAACTCTCACAGCTTTCTAGAGTCCATTATTTAACACATGTTTATTGAGCACCTACTGTGTGCTGGGCATGTTCTGGATTCTTGGGATCTATTAGGGAACAAAGCAAAGACCCCTAGGTTCATGGAGTGTGCATTCTAGCAGGGGGAGACAGGTAAGAAACAACACGCAAATTACTCCATGGATGATGTGATATTTTAGAACAGGACAAGTGCCTTGGAAACAAGGAAGCAGTTGAGCAGGTGAGGGAGATCAGAAGTAAGGATCCCATGAATTTCCCTGTCTTGAACTTTGGCATAGCTGGGGAGAGGGATGAGTCAGGAGGTGTGTGGGTGGGAAGTGTACTGAGGTGTCCACTCAGCAAGTGCTCAACTCTCAGGTGTGCCCAGCTCCCTGTTCCTGAGGAGAACAATGGCAGGTGTGTGCAGTCACCCTGGCCAAGCTGGGAAGAAAAACCCAAAGGTTCTGATTGGCCTCGCCACCACTCCGCAGTGTACCAAGGACCCCTATAGGCATCAAACCAGACCCCATTCATCTCTGCAGCCAGGTACTTGGGGGGTTTCCAGCAGCCCACCTCTGGCTCGCCTTTTTTTTCAAATAATGTTTACTGTTTTTATTTTTTGACTGCAAATGTAATATATACTTATTACAGAATATTTAGGAAATACAGAGAAGGAAAAGTAAGAAAATTGAAATCACATAAAATATCCCACCACCCACAGAAAATAGCTTGATAGATTCATAGTGGATATTTTAGGTCATAAAGTATTATCATCTAATATTTTGTTTGTATTCCAGGTTTTTTTTGTTTTGTTTTTTTTGTTGTTTTTTTTTTTGCCTATTGCTATCTTTTCTTCCTTTAAAACAGGAAGCTACATTCAGATAATTTGGATGCCTGCTTTGCTCATTTATAAGTATGTCATGAGCATCATTTTATACCATTTAATAGCACAGCATATATCAGCACCTGCATTACATTTGGTATTGAACCATAATTAGTTTCCCCAAGGTTTTATTTGGGGTCATTAAGTTACATATGATGTTTTTGATATTATAGAGAGCACGGTGATAATATTTTGTAGTGAAATCTTTATGTACATTCATAAATATTTTAGGATAAGTGTCCAGAAATGACATTTCTCAGTCAAATAATATATGTCTTTTGTTAAATTTCTCTGCCAAAATATTCCAGCTACACTCCTGCCATTGATGGATGAAAACCTCCATTCAGCAGACTGTTGTCAATGACTGGGGTAATTTAAAAATGTTTTTGGTTATTGGGTAGGCAAAACAACAACAATAATAGCTATATTATTTTCCTCTTTAGTCTGCATTTATCTGAAGACCAGTGAGGTTGAGTTCTTTTTCCCTTTCTTCACATTAGAATGTCTTTTTTATTCATTATCATGCCCCTTGCTCTTGGTGATACGTGGGGAAATTTCCCAGGATGAGAATCAAGAAGTCATCTTTACTGGCCCCAATTCTGTCACTTGACAGCTGTCATCCTGGAGCCTGAGTGCCTCAGTTTCCTCATGTACATAGTGGGGGCAGTGATGTGTGCCTCCTGCTACATTGAGATCTGGGGCTGTTGCTTATAATATACTTGTGTATAAGCACCACGTGGCATGGATCTTCCTGGCTCTGTGATGTACGTCAGGTTCTCCAGCCTCTCTGGGCTTGTTTTCTCATCTGTAACATGGAGATAATAGAACCTATGTAATGGGACTGATCTGAGGCTTAGATGAGTTACTATACAAAGAGTACTTAAAACAGTGCCTGGCGCACTGGGAGGACTCAGTAACTATTGCACGTATTCATCTATGTTGGATCTTTGAGCTCTTTCAGCCCTTGCCTGGGATGGGTTGATGGTCAAATCTTGGCATGTGAGGGCTGCAAGACCTATGTAGAAATACTCCCCTCACTTAGACCTGGCAGATTGGGACCCAGAATGTGAAAGGAATTCACCCAAAATCACCTCGTAAATGCATAGCAGAGAGAAGATTAGAGCACAGTTTTCCTGATGTTGTCCCACAAAGATTTCACCCCTGAGCTATTGCGGGAAATGTCACCTCCTAGGGAAGATCAGTGTATTGTTTGTTGCCTTTTCTTGGTGCTGGGAGTCCCAAAGGCTCCAGAATGGGAAGGGGAGTGAAGCCCTTCTCACTCTGCTTGGTCTCAGGAGACTTTAATGAGTCCTAGCCCCACTACCTGAAGGCTCTGATAGCCTCCTACCCATTCCAATATCTTGGACCTCCCAGTCCAAGGCCCTGCCCCAGAAGACACCTGGCTTAGATCTGGCTGAACTTTCAGGGGTTTTTCTTTCTCCCTCCCCAGGTGCTCCCAAGATGCCGTGGCGGGGCAGGTGCTCTCTGAGTTCTTTACCAATCGTAAGGAGAACATTCCTCTCAAGTTTTCTGAAGACTGTCTTTACCTCAATATTTACACTCCTGCTGACTTGGCCAAGAAAAGCAGACTGCCGGTAAGCTGTGGGATCCCCTGGTTGAGGCGTGTCAGTTCCAGTTCCCCGGATCTTCTGGGCCACACCAGAAGGGGGTGAAGGCAGCTTGGGGAGGGGCTGCAAAGGCCAGGATTGTTTCAGGGACCCCAGGGCCTCCACGGGAAACACAGGTTTTCCACACCTCAGTTTCCCCTTGTGACACAGGGCCTCTGGGGGAATCTGCTGTACATCTTTAATGCACATCTTAATTGTTCCAAGTTCCCTTATGCTAATGAAGGATGAGAATGATTACTTTTAGTTACTAGATTAAAAATCTGATACCCAGAGTGGGCAAGACATGATTTTCAATAATGTTAGAGGTGGAAGAGACTTAGAGAAAAGCCAACACCCCAACTCTTCCATTTCAGATAGAGAAACTGAGGCCCAGACAGGAAAGGAGAGGTCGCCAGTAGGGTAGTTTTTGCTCAAGTCTTCTGATCTTCAAACCAGTGCTTTTGACTTGGAGTGGGGCATTGAGCTCGTATGTGGCCTTTCTGCAGCACACCCACATCCATCTGGGGTAACTTTCACTGTCTGGGTATGGGTGTTGGGGGAAGAGCCTGGAAAATCCCTGGAGCACTTCCTTTTGCCTTTGGCCAAATATCTGGGATTTTCTTGTACCTAATTTCCTCCCTAATTGTCTTGGCAAAGACTGATAACCCAATGTGTTAGCATTTCCCGAATAAACAAAGGGCAAGAGATAGGGCAGGCTGCCAGCTGCAAGTTGGAGGGTAGGGAGGTCTGCTGGCAAAGAAGGCCACCCCAGGGTGGAATAAAGGGTGTCGCATCCAGCGGCATCATGGCGTGGTGCCCAGGAGTGAGAGAGCAGGTCTGCGAACGTGGGACTAGAAGTTGTCCCTACAAGTGCTTCGTAAGACACAGGAAGTGGGAGAAAGGGTTACTCACTCACTCATTCATTCATCTATTGTGTACTTGGTGCGCCATATACACAGTTAGACTCGGGGCTTTAGGGGAAAGAGGAACATCAACCCACTCCACGCAGCCCCTGCCTTCAAGGATCTTGCCGTCTGGGCTGTAGAGACATATGCTCCCTTCAGGAGGTTATTGCAGGCCAGCCCTCGGGTCAGCCTTCACACAAAGATGGATGCATGCTCAGTCCCTCCCCAGGAGGCAGCAGGCATTAGAGGTGTGGGAGAAACAGGGCTCTGGGAACCTGGAGGTGGGAGAACCTCCAGGAATGGCCACAGGTTCTAGAACTACACATGCTTAGAACAGCACCTGGTACATAGTTATGAGTTCTTTTATATTTTATTAATAATATTACTACAATATTATTATTTTAGCCACTCTTCTTCCTTGATATGTGGACTTTTAAAATGAGAGAACCTTGTGTTAGAAATTGTATCCACTCTCATCCTCGGGTATTCACTTAGTTCCTGATGCATAGTAAGATCTCAGATAGTGCTAGTCAAATGATTGAAGGCATCCTGGAGGGCGTGCGTTTTAGGGTGGGATTTTCAGGGTAGATAGAATTTGGGGATGCAGAGGCATAAAGGAGGTATTTGAGGAAGAGACACCATCACAGGCATGTGTGCTTCTCAAGACAATCATTCATGCACAGAAAAGTTTAATTCACCATGAGTGAGTTAACTGAGATGAAGCTGAGTTATGAGGGCTGCCCCATGGGTACGCTGAGCTGCATGAACAGTCCAGGCTTGAGGGTGATAGAAGTGAGGGGGAGAATACAACATCCTTAGCCTTTGCTGTGCCCGTGATGGTGTTCTCCGTGTGAAGAGCCTTTGGAGGAGGTGGCACTGGAGGCTGGGTAAAAGGAAGGGGCAGCCAGGGTGTGTACAGTGGGGTGGTGGTTTGAGCCCCAGTTTGGAGAATTATAGAGGAGAGAGACTGCCTTTTGCAAACTTGCTGGGCGCTGGCGAACTTTGGGTAACATCCTCTTTCAGTTGTGACCTAAACAAGGCACCCTCTGGGTGCTCCCTGGCTCTGCGCCCTGTAACTGGTCTGTTGCTTCCCCCCTGCCCAGGTGATGGTGTGGATCCACGGAGGGGGGCTGTTGCTGGATGGGGCATCAACCTATGATGGGCTGCCCCTTGCTGCCTATGAAAACGTGGTGGTGGTGACGATTCAGTACCGTCTTGGCATCTGGGGATTCTTCAGGTAAGAAATTGGACTCTCCTCCCTGCACTTTGGCCCCCACCATGAGGAAGCTAGGACCCAGCTCTGGTCATGTCAGCCCTCAGGGGACCTTAGCTGGGTTCCTCAGCAAAGCATCAAAGCACCTTCATAAGTGGATACTACCTACTCTCTCATTCCACAGCCACACTCATCCACTTGCCTCTGAGCTTTTGCATGTGCTGTTCCCTCTGCCTGGAATGCCTATTCTACCTGATGAACTCCTCTTCATCCTGCAAGACCCAGCCCCCAGTTACCTCCTCTGAAAGACTCATCTCCTTTTCACCTGTGCTGCTTCCACACATGGCATATCTCTGTCATAGAAGATAACAGTTAGCCCAGGCATTGAAGATTGACACATCTGACTTCTCATGAGAAACGAGGGAAGGGGCAGCCACAGACGGAGCTCAGTGCATGTTGTGGGTGAAGGAAAGGGGGCTGCAGATGGTGGGGTGTGGGAGCATCTGTCCCCTTTCCGGAGGAGCGTTGGGGCCCACGTGCCCCATTTTCTGCTTGAAATCTGGCAATGCAGGAAGCAAGGATGGAATCGTCCCCATCAGATTTCCATGGGGACAGGTGCAATTACTCCTGCAGGGTGGAATTGCTATGAACATTTTCTAAGTTTGTCCCCCCCCAGCACCCCAATCCTGAGTGAGTGATGGGAAGGCTGTGGGAGGGATTGCACTCACCAATGGGAAGACCTAGGGAGATGGAGGATGGTTCTGGTCTACCTGTCAGCAGGGCGCCCCAGGCCAGTCTTGGCCGTATCACCTTCATGGGACTCCACATCCCTTTCAGTCACAGCCTGTATCTCTGCTCCCCCTTACAATAAAGCTGCCTCATGATCTCTCTCCACTTCCTCTCCTCCGTGCGTCTCCTCCGCCCATGCCAGCCATGTTTGTTCCTGACCACACCACTCAGCTGCTCTCATCGTGGTCACCGGTGACCGCCGCTGCTCTCCACCCAACCGCACAGGACCTCCCAGCAGCAGCCGATGGCCACGCAGCCTCTGTGAAATGCTTCCTCCCCAGCCCTTTCCCGGTGCCTCCACCTCCCTGTCCACTGGCCTGTCTTGTCTCCCTCTCCCTCTCCACTAATTCCCAGTGATCCCAGGGAGCAGCCCGGAGCCCCCGTTTCCAGCCCACCTCTTCTTTGAAGCCCACATGTCACTCACTGTCTCCTCTCTGCCCCTGTCTCCTCTCGGTGCCCCGCTCTTCCCAGGGACCAGCTGAATCCTTGACGCCCTCCCCAGCAGAGACCCCCTCCTCCTCCCACGGGGCCTCCACTCAGCTGCTGCCGCCCCATCCTCTCAGGGGCTCAGAGAAGGCCTCTTGGGCAGCCTGGACTCTCTTTTCTCACAAACCTCGTGGCTCCACCTTCAGAATCCACTCAGAATCTACAACTTTGCACCTCCTCCCTGGCTCCTGCCCCAGCCTAAGTCTTCTGTCTCTTGCCTGGGTTATGAGCCTAACACTCAGTTTCAGATCCCTGCCACTTTTATGCTGGGGCTGAGCTGCACAATAGCCAGAGTGATCGCTTAACACATGCATTGAATCACATGATGCCTCTGTGAAAAGCCCTGCGGGGGCTCCCGTGTCCCCTGTGATGACAGCAGAAGTCGTTGCCAGGGCCCCAGGGCCTGTCTAGCTGCACCTCCCCACGCACACTTTCTTCCCCTGGGCCGCAGGGCCCTTGCACTTGCTTTTTCTTCTGCCTGGAATTCCTTTCTTTGGTTATTTGCAAGGCTCATGTGCTCATTGTGCTTGTTTGATGAAGGTCTTTGGCTCCAAGACCTCAAATGCCACTGCCTCCAAAAGGCCTTCCCTGGTTGCGATCTGAAATGGCACCGTCAGTCCCACCCCTGTTTCTTCTTTACCCCATTGTATTTTCCTCAATGCACTTTCACTACCTGACATCGTTATATTCC